GAGTGTGACATGACCCTATGGTCTGGTACCTAGTGTAGGGGGTTTGTGGCAGAACTAGTCTGGAGGTATTGTGAGTTGTTGGCTTAGGCTATTGCAGTCCACTGCATCAAAAACTGCATGGTCCTTGGCAAATATTATAGGAGTCCCCAGAGACTTCAGAGGCTGTTGAGGTCTTCAGCATTGTTTCTAGGTTCTAGCCACAAGGGACCAGGGCAAACAGTGGTGTGGCCAGAGCTGGTGTACACACTCTTGGCTGAAGCCAGCAACAGGTGTGTGTAGTGGCAGTGCCCAGTTGTAAACACATATGTAGCAGTGGGGTCCAGGGAAGACATCAACTGCTGAAGCCAATTGTGGACACACAGAGAGCTTGGGGAACCTGGCTGTCTGGCTGCACTGCTGTGGCTTCTGGGTTTTGCTACAGGCATACAGCAGTGGAGGCTGGTAATGGGCTAGGGGTATGCAGGTGCACAGTTGGAAGGGCTAGCTACAGGTAAGTGCAGTGGTGCAGGACAGTGACAGAAGACAGGGGCCTCTCTGGGTCTGCAAACAGCTGCGGGGATCTGGCTGTTGGCAGTACTCTTCTATAACTACCTAGTCTCCCTCTGGGCATGCACATGGCAGTAGAAGCTGGGGATGGGTTGAGCTGGAAGCATGCAGGTATACCACTGGAGGGGTTAGCCCTGAGTGACCACATGGTGGTGAGTGTTAGCGATGGGGATCTAGACTGGTGTTTTGTACTTGCACACCATAGAGTCTTGGGCTGGCTGCTGGTTTGGTTCTTGGGTTCCAGGGGTGGTGGTGGTAGTGTGTGTGTGGGGGGGGGGGGGGGGTGGGGGGGGGATTCAAGCAGCTGGCGTCAGCCAATGCAAATACCTGTGTGACAAACCCAGTGAAATCTGGAGGGTGTTCTCAGTGGCTGTGCTGGCCATTGGTTTCTTCAGTGATGGAAGCTGCTGAGGTCATCTGTGGAGTAGGTCACAGGGAACCATAGTGACTCAGGCTCTGTGGCTGATTTTGGTAGCACCTGTGCTTCTTCCTTTTTCCTAGCTGTATTTATGGGTGTCAGCTTTACCTGTCTCTGGGTGGGGTGAAACCTAAGTAGATTCTTTATAGAGTGGAGGAAAGGCTGGGTGAGCTGGTTCCTGACCCTACTTTTTTTTTTTTTTTTAAACCAGCCAGGGGACTGGTAAAAAAGTAGGGGTATGCAGGTGCACAGTTGGAAGGGCTAGCTACAGGTAAGTGCAGTGGTGCAGGACAGTGACAGACTCTTTCTAGCTGGGGAGTTCCAGTTTGGTGCTAAATAATGATAGCTTGGGGGATAGGATGGTGCAGGCACAAAGAAGGTTTTCTTCCTTTCATTTTTATGCAGTTGTCCTTAAGTTTTTTATTTCAGTGTGTGGCTGCAGTTTTTAAGTAGAATCTGGAGCCCTACCTGAGTTGTTTTCATTCATGGACAGCTGTTTAGTGGTTGATCTTTGTGGAGAGATGGAAGCTGGTGTCTCCTACTCTGCCATTTTGGTGATGTCCTTAAACTCTTGTCCATATGCTCTGGGATACATGTACAAGCATTTTCATACCAAGTTTTTTTTTTTTTTTTTTTGGTAATAGCCCCCAAATTGAAGATCCCAAATATTTGTAGAGTGGAGTGGATAAACAAATTGTGGCCTGTTCATGCAATGGAAAATCATACCATAATGAAAATGAAATGGCTACTCATAACACCATTAATTTCTCAAATGTAATATTGATTGAAAGAAGCAAGTCATAAATACAGGGAGTATTTTCATTTGTAAAAAATTAAAAGCTGGGAAAATTTAAACTATGTTGATTAAGGATATTAACAAAGATGGAAAAGATATAAAGATGAGGAAAAAACAGGATAATGGGTTGAAGGAAAGTGTTGTGAATGGGGAGGGACACATAAAGAGCTTCTGGGATATTGGCAATCCCAGGTACCCAGTTGTTGACCTTGAGTGGTGGTTGTATGGATACTTGCTTTGTAATTATTCATTAAACAGTAAATATATTTTTATGTATGACTCAGTAAATATGCCAGAGTTCATGATTATAAAATAAAACTAAGGGGATTAATTTATATTGATGCTTTTAAAGAATAAAGCCCGGAAACTATAAAATAAAAAAATCAATAGATTTGACTAAGTATAAAAATTCTGTACATTTGAAATAATCCATAAATATTAGTAAGTAAATAATTAATAGCAGATGAGAAGGTATTTGTTACACATTATATACTAGTATTAATTGGCCCCTACAAATGAATAATAAAATTCAAACAATTCAGGAGAAAAGTGAGCAGACATGTGAACAGGCATTTCACAGAAGCAGAAATAAAAATGTCCAAAAACAAATGAAATGAAGCTTGACTTGATTAGGGATCATGGAGATGAAAATTAAAATTATGAGAAAAAATATTTATAAGACATATTTAAGTTAAACATTAATAACTAATATTGGTGACCATATGGAGAAAAACTGTTGTACTTCATTGGCTTAAATGAAAATTGTTCTCAAATTTATGGAACTCACTACAGTATTATCTATAAAAATAGAAATGTGCAGACTTTAACAACAAACACCTTTATTTTTAGGAATTTATCTCAACAGAGATTCTGGCATGTTGTATTAGCAGTTTTAATGGACATATAGTATTCTATTTTATGGTTATGTCAAAATTTATTCTCCCAGAGATGCTCATATAGATAATTTTTATATTTCTGTTTCTACAAGCAGTAATACTCTTAGTATATTTGTATAAGCAAAACCATGGAAACAACATGCATTTTAGGACTGACTAAATGAATTTTGGTCAATTCATAGCAATGGAATGTTGTGTAGCCTTTAAAAAGAATAACTTTACATAAACTGCTTAGAAACATTTGCCTTGACATTTAAGGGGATAAAGCAAGATAAAAGCATTTTATATACATTTTTGTCCCATTTTTATAATCCATCTATGTGCATGAATCCTACATGTTAGCTGTTTCTCAGACCTCTTCCAAAGAGGGAAAAGAAAACCTGTCAATTGATAAGTAATATGCATTAGTTATTAATAATTTTTATCAATTAATAAAATACTGCAGCTTCTATAAAAGAGATAAAAGAGGTCCACATTCCCCCACAATATGCAGCTAAATCTCCCTTTCCCATTTTAGCTACTTCAGAATTACTTCATAGGCCACTTTGGTAACCAGGGGTACTCTTCTCAGGAAGAGGATCTTCACCAGAACATTTCAGTAAGAATAAGAAATGGGGGCACCTGGTTGGCTTAGTCAGTAGCATGCAACTCTTGATTTTGGGGTTGTGAGTTTGAGCCCTACATTGGGTGTAGAGATTACTTAAAAATAAAAAAAATCTTAAAAAATGAAAGGGGGAAATTGGAGCGGGAGATGAACCATGAGAGACTATGGACTCTGAGAAACAAACTGAGGGTTCTAGAGGGGAGGGGGGTGGGGGGACGGGTTAGCCTGGTGATGGGTATTAAAGAGGGCACATTCTGCATGGAGCACTGGGTGTTATGCACAAACAATGAATCATGGAACACTACGTCAGAAACTAATGATGTAATGTATGGTGACTAACATAACATAATAAACGAAAAAAATAAAGAAATGGGTTTCCTGATCTCTTTTATTTTTTGGTTTTCAAATTATTCATAATGAGAATTTGAGGAAGAACAATTGGTTGATTCCTCAAACTATTCCACCTGGTATGGGAGTATAATGTTTCCACCTATACATTCTATGATACTGAGTTGAGATTCCTAGATTAATGGCGTCACAGATGGAGGCCTGTGTTAGTCAGTTTGGGGCTGCTATAACAAAATACCACAGATTGGGTGACATACACAACAGAAATTTATTTCTAATGATTCTGAAGGCTGAGAAGTCTGAGATCAGGGTTGCAGCATGGTCAGTTCTTGTAAGAGCCTTCTTCCTGGTTTGCAGATTATCCTCAAATGATGGAAAATAGAGAAAGGAAGTAGCCTCTCTCCTGTCTCTTGTATCTCAAGTGCCTAATGATTTAGTTACCTCTCAAAGGCCCCGCCTCCAAGTACTATCATATTGGAGATTAGGGTTTCAACAGACGAATATTGGTCCATAGCAGGGCCTTTTCTCCCTTCTGTGAACTGTACTTTCAAATTGTGACAGAAATAACAGTTGATGTTCTTTGTAATCCTTTACCAAATCCAGGGCATAATTTTAAATCATGTCCCATGCTATTATAAAATTAATCTTAATTTGATATGGTATAATATTTTATTTATTTATTATTATTTATAAGACTAATTATTTGAGAGAGAGTGTGAACGAGGGGCGGGAGGGGCAGAGGGAGAGGGAGAAACAGACTTCCCCTTGATCAGGGACCCTGATGCTTGGGCTTGACCCTGGGCTTGATCCCAGGATCCCAAGATCATGACCTGAGCCGAAGGCAGTCGCTTAACCAACTGAGCCACCCAGGCACCCCTATGTTGCTTTCCTTTTAAGTAGCATTTTAGTTAACATTTTGGTTATTTGATTCAGGTGGAAAACTTAATCGATTGTTGGATCTTCACATAGACTTTATTGACTTAGCAGCAGCAACCAAAGCAGTTTTCTCTTAGCATCTTAGAGTCCTCTTATATGCAGTGTTATAAGGAGGTCACACATACTGACCTCAATCCAGTTTTGTCACTTACTAGATGCATAGTTTTGATCAAGTTATATAACCTTTCTAAGGCTCAGTTTATTTATTTGAAAATGGTGACAATATCTTTTTTTGGGGTTATTTTGAGGATCAAAAGAATGGTAAAGTAGCATAGTGACATAACGGGACTTTAATAAAATGGTAACTGTAGTTATCATAAGCATTTGTTCCTTGAGTACTGTCTCCTCGTTATGTCCACTAGTTCTCACACATATAGCAGTGAGTTATATCAGCATAGAGGTATAATTTTAGCCATTTGTAATACTTTTACATTTTTTCCTTTTTCTTCATGATAGAAACTGCTTATTCACTGATGAAGCAAGTGGATGTCATGTTGAAAATATTTGAAAAACATTCAAATATGTTGGAGAGGTAAGCTTTTAAAATAACTCCTTTTCTTAATTATGAAAATGAGTAGACATGTATTTTAGAAAAATTGGAAACATAAATAAGACCACTGTTAAAAAACTTTAGTGTTCCTATGTCAATTTTTATGATATTGTGATTTTAAAATTATAATCATGCAGAATATAAAATTGTATAGCCACAATGGAAAACAGTATGTCAGTTTCTCAAAAAATTAAAAATGTAATTACCATATGATCCAGTAATTTCATTTCTGGTTAGATACCCTGCAAAATTGAAATCAGGGTCTCAAAGACACTCATGTTTACTGTAGCCTTATTTACAATAGCAAAGGGTAGAAGCAACCCAAGTGTCCAAAAACAGGTAAATAGATAAAATGTGATACATACATACAATGGAATATTATTTAGTATTAAAAAGGAAGGAAATTCTGACATAGGGTAGAACATGAATGAACCTTGAGGATATTATGCTGAGTAGAATGAGGCAGTCACAAGAAGACAAAGTTATATGATTTCATTTATATGAGATACCTAGAATAGTCACTGTGGATTACCCACAGTTCTTTCAGGTGACTAAGATTAAATTAGTAAAATACTTGTATGTTGAAAAAGCATGTCTTGTAGAATGAAATCACAAATCAACTTTTATTTGGACACTTTTGGTTCATTTATATTTGCTAATTGAAGCTTATTTTCCCCCTGCTCCTGGACAAAAACTAGGGTAAATCTTGACTTTTTTGATTACTCTCAGATAATAATTAATTTAAATTAATTTAGAAGCACTGTCCTAATTGGGAAATTAAAATTCCTGTCAAATATTACAATCAATATTTTAATTTTTATTCTAAGTTAAAATTTCTCTCCTTTTCCTCCTACCTAGTGTACCAGCTGAAAACTGCTAGGGGTTATGATTGGCTTTTCTCTTTCATTACCTCCTTTCCAACTAACTAGTTGTAGTTTCTGTTCTCCATGTGTTTGGGAAGAGAGGGAATAAAGGTGTAAGATATACAGGAAAAGTCTTACTTGACTGTCCTGGCTTCCTTCTCCATAACTACAGATAACACCAAATTTTCTAAGTATTTTCCTTAAAACGCCTCTCACTAGGCTTGAGATCAGGGCAAGCATATCCTCCTCTCCCTTAAGGGTTTGTATATGGCTCAAGGCACCCAATAGCTCTCTGCAGAGAAATACTCTTTCTAAATCTTCTTTCCTGACCCTTTTTATACTGCCCATATTAATGAAAGGTTTTAGTGCTAGTGCTCTTTCTTGGCTTCCTGCCTTTTTTTTAAGTGCTAATGGTCATCTGCCTCACCTATTACTTTGGCATGTGATACTGGGAACTTAGGGTTTCCACTGATGCCTCCTTATACAACTTGTTACAGTTATATCCTTGAAAATTCTGTTAAAATAAAGATAGGGTGTGACAAAAGGCTTAGTGCAGTTTTAAGATTTAATAACCTCAGAACTAGGAAGGAGGGAAGATGGTGGAAGAGGTGGGGCACCCGCATTTCATCCGGTACCTTGAATTAGCTAGATAGCTATCAAATCGTTCTGAGTACCTGTGATTTCAACCTGAGATGTAAGAAAAGGATTGCTGCAATTCTACAAATAGAAAATTGACCACTTTTTTCAAGTTAGTAGATGTGGAGATGTGAATCTGAGGGGATATATTGGAAGATAAATCATGGGGGGAGGGAGCCTCTGTCAGCGGGCTACCAGAAAGTGATATAGCAGTGAAGCACAAAATCAGAACTTTTAGAAGTCTGCTCCTGTGAGGAATGACCCTGCCTGAAAGGTGTTCAGGTGGTGAAGTGGGGTGGAATCCTAGGTGGGACAGTGTGGTCTCAGGATCCCCAGGGTCTCATAAAGAAAGGGGGGCCTAAATGTGGCAGAGTTTCCAAGCATTGGAACAGGGAAGCCGGCTACAATTATTGAGCCCCCGAGTGGCCTCTCAGCTAGATGTTGCCATAAACTGCGAACCACAGCACAGTTGGTGACTGCTGTCAGAGTAGGGGCCCAGCAAGTGAAAACCACTGTGAAATCCAGCTCCTCCCCCCTGCAGGAGCAGTGGGAGTGCATGCACAATTGGGCAAATGCTCCCTGAGAAGGGGCCCAGCAAGCAGCAGGGTGGTGGTGAGACACCCCTGCCTTCCCTGAGAGGATTGGTGTGGGTGTGCACCACAGGAGTCTGGGGAGTTTGGCCCACATGAAAGGGATTGACTGCCTTTCCCTGAGGGTGCACTGAGGAGTGGGGGCCAGGTCCTTTCAGCTCCAGGTCTGGAGATTGGGGCACCACCATTTTTTTTACTTTTTTTTTCTTCCTCTAAAGTGATACAAAAAGCCTTCAAGGAACAAAAGCCACATAGTACAACCCAAAGCAACATACATTGAGCCCAGGCCCCTGGCAAGGGGCAGTGCAACTCTGCCCAGGCAAAGACACCTGAGAATCAGTGCAACAGGCCCCTCCCCCAGAAGACCAGCAGGATCCTCAGGCAAATACCAAGTTTAAAATTCCTGTGCTAGGTGAGTGAAATAAGTCAATCAGAGAAAGACATGTATCACATGACCTCACTGATATGAGGAATTCTTAATCTCAGGAAACAAACTGAGTGTTACTGGAGTTGTTGGGGGTGGGAGGGGTGGGGTGGCTGGGTGATAGACATTGGGGAGGGTATGTGCTATGGTGAGCGCTGTGAATTGTGCAAGACTGTTGAATCACAGATCTGTACTTCTGAAACAAATAACGCAACATATTTTAAGAAAAAAGAAAAAGAAGAAGATAACAGGAGAGGAAGAAAAGGGGAGTATGTCAGAGGGGGAGACGAACCATGAGAGACGATGGACTCTGAAAAACAAACTGAGGGTTCTAGAGGGGAGGGGGGTAGGGGGATGGGTAAGCCTGGTGATGGGTATTGAGGAGGGCACGTTCTGCATGGAGCACTGGGTGTTATGAACAAACAATGAATCATGGAACACTGCATCAAAAACTAATGATGTAATATATGGTGATTAACATAACAATAAAAAAATTAAAAAAAAAATTCCTGTGCTAGGGGAAAATAGTATAAAGAATTGGAGGTTTTTTCACATGAGTCTTTAGTCTTTTGGTTTAAATTTTTCTTTTCCTTTTCAACTAGTTTCTTATTTTATCAACTCTTTGTTTTTAAGTCTTTTTTTAATTTTCATTTTTACATTTACATTTTATAGATATATTCATTTTTGGCTTCTGTTCACTGTATTCAATTTTATTTTTGTGTATATATATATAAATTTTGCTTTCTTTACAATTTTGGGATTTAGTGTCTTCTAACAGACCAAAATATACCCAGGACCAAGTGGATTACACTGTTTTGTCCACCTGTGAGATTATATTCTCTTTTCTCCCTTTTTTTCCTTTTCTTTTTTGGTTTCTGATCTCTTGGATTTGTCTAGTATGTGCTTCTCTTGGGTCGTGGTTGATATTTTTGATTTTGTTCTCTCATCTATTTCTGCTCTGGGCAAAATGACTAGAAGGAGGAATTCATAACAAAACAAAGAACCAGAGGTAATACTCTGCCACAAATCTAATCAATATGGATATAAGTAAACTGTCAGAGCCGGAATTCAGGATAATGATTCTAAAGTTACTACCTGGGCTTGAAAAAAGCATAAAAGACACCCGAGAATCTCTTAGTGCAGAAATAAAATCTAATCATGCCGAAATTAAAAATAGTTTAACTGATATGCAGTCTAAAATGGATGTTCTAACAGCTAGGGTAAATGAAGCAGAAGAGAGAGTCAGTGACATAGAAGGCAAGTTGATGGAAAGGAAGAAGCTGAGGAAAAGAGAGAAAAACAACTAATAGACCATGAGGGGAGGCCTCGAGAAATCGGCAATACCATAAAGCAAAATAATTATTGGGGTCCCAGAGGAAGAAGAAAGAGAGAGACAGAAGGTATATTTGAGCAAATCATAGCTGAGAACTTCCCTAATTTGGGGAAGGAAACAGGTATTCAAGTCCAGGAAGTAGAGAGAACCCCCTCAAAATCAATAAAAATAGTTTAAGATGCCGACATAAAATATTGAAGCTTGCATATTTCAGAGATAAAGAGAAAATCCTGAAAGCAGCTCAAGACAAGAACTCTTTAACCTATAGGGGTAGGAACTGGCAGCAGACCTGTCCACAGAGACCTGGCAGGCCAGAAAGGGCTGGCATGATATATTCAGAGTACTAAATGAGAAAAACATACAGCCAAGAATACTTTATCCAGTGTCTATCATTCAGAATGGAAGGAGAGATAAAGAGCTTCCAGGAGAAACAGAAGCTAAAAGAATTTGTGATCACTAAACCAGACCTGTGGAGAAATATTAAGGGAGGTCCTGTAAGTGAAGAGAGAGTCCGAGAGTAACAGTAACCAGGAAGAAACAGAGATAATCTATAGAAACAGGGACTTTACAGGTAATGCAATAGCACTAAATTCATATCTTTCAATAGTTACTCTGAATGTAAATGGGCTAAATGCTCCAATTAAAAGACACAGGGTATCAGATTGGATAAGCAAGACCTACCTATATGCTGTCCACAAGAGACTCATTTGAGACCTAAAGACACCTCCAGATTGAAAGTGAGGGGGTGGAAAAACCATTTATAATGCTAATGGGCATCAAAAGAGAGTTGGGGTGGCAATCCTTATATCAGACAAATTAGATTTTAAACCAAAGACTATAATAAGAGATGACACTATGACACTATGATATAGTGTCATAATTAAAGGTTCTATCCTACAAGAATCTAACAATTATAAATATTTATGCTCTTTAACTTGGGAGCAGCCAATTATATAAACCAATTAATAATAAAATTAAAGAAAAACATAGATAATAATACAATAATACTAGGGGACTTCACCCCACTCACAGCAACAAGGGCTTTGAATGACATCCTGGAAGAACAACAAGGAAACAAGGGCTTTGAATGACACCCTGGGCCAGATGGACTTCACAGATATATATAGAGCATTCCA